TTTTGTAAGACTTCGTATACGGGAAACCTACTTAGCGAGGTGCTAAGAGCATCCCCGATAAGTAGAACCCGGCGTCGAAGACTCATCTATTGGTGGGGAGCTGCACCTGCTGGAAATCGGGTCCAACGTCCCTGTACAATGATGTGATGTGTGTGAGCTGGAAATCGGGTTCAGAGTCCCTGTACAATGATGTGATGCGTGTGAGCTGGAAATCGGGTCCAGCGTCCGTATACAGTGGTATGTAGCTATTTACCACAATCAAGAACTGTCTGTATATGTACATCAATCCATATATGTCATCGTCCAATCTATCTGTATTCTTTCATCGATAAAACATGTCCCCTGAAGGGAAAACCCTAACCCCTATCCTAACATATCACCATGGCAAGCGAGGCGTCAAGCCCAATTCTATCAATCAAGCCAGAAATTGAACCCTAACACAGATATGAAATGAAACCCCAGAATTGATGTACTGTATGTGAGCTGGAAACCGAGTCCAGCATCACTAAGTTGTGATGTGTGCAGGCAGTCTATAATGAATCTATATATGTTCTTGATTCACCTGTATCACTGAAGAGAGCAGAGGTATTGATTACTTCCCCACGCAGGGGAAGGATTGACCTTCTGCTCATGAAGCATATATCCCTATTCAATGATGTGAGTAGATGTCATATCGCACATATACTCTCTAGCAAAGAAAAAACGTAATCACCAACAGTCCTTTCATGATTAAGAGTTGAGGGTTTGAAAGATGAGTGGCGATCAACCCTAGCGAACCCTAATCAACGCAGGGAGATCATCTATCCTATGATTCCTATCCCCACCCGATGCCAGAGAAGGGCACACGAATCAGCATGAGAAAACACCAGGTAGGGGTGGGAGGGAACCCTAAGTCGTACCTTCAACCACAAACCCCACTTCACCAGCCCCAACACGCTACTAATTCCCCCCCACTGAGTTTATGGCGGCATGAACGAAAGAACAAAAAGGGGTTTTGGGAAAAAGGGAAGGTGAGGGAGGTCCTACACTAGGTAAAATGGGAACTGATGAATAAAGAGGGAGAGAGAGAGAGAGAGAGAGAGAGAGAGAGAGAGAGAGAGAGAGAGAGAGAGAGAGAGAAGAAGAAGAAGAAGAGGGTGCGGGGGGGGGAACCAGGGAGCAGAGGGAGAGTGACAGGTGGAGAGAGAGTGCGAAAGATAGATGCCATTAGATGGTCAGATGACTGGGGACCACTGGAAGACAGCATCAAATAAAGAGAATAAGCCCCTCACTCCACTAGACAACACTCTATATGCATTTGGACACTTTCTGGACCCGATTCATTCAAAATGTTGGATTCGTCCGAATGCACCTGGCTGAGGCAGCATACCTCGCCCGATATTGAAGCCAAGCCTGAAAATGCCTTGATCGCCGGACCTCATTTTGACAGGCGCTGCCAGCCATTTTGTTCCAGTACCCCGACCCCCAGAAGTTGCGGGCGTAAACAAGCCGCATATTTGTTGTTCAAGCGGGTAAAGGTAAGGGTGGTTCCCAAACTGGTAGTCAAGAAACCATAGTGAACGGGGAAGGCTGGAGAAAGAAGAACAACAAGAAGCTGCAGGAGAAGTTTTCGAATGGAGACTACCGTCTTCACCTGAATAGAACGCCCAGTCATTATCATCTTCATCATCAGTTTCATCATCATCATCTTCATCATCAGCTTCATCATCATCATCATCATCATCATCATCATCATCATCATCAGTATCATCATCATCAGTATCATCATCATGATCATCATCATCATCATCATCATTATCTTCATCATCATCGTCGGCATAACTGACATACCAACATCATTATCATCATCAATATGAGCATCTTCATTGGTGCGTCATCATCATATTCATCTTCATCATCATCACCATCATCATCATCATCATCAGCAGCAGCAACAGTAGCAGTAGTAGCAGCAACATTATTGATATCATCATAATCATCATCATGAGTATCATCATTGGTTAATCTTCATTATCATCATCATCATCTTTATCATCATCATCATCATCATCATCATCATCTTTATCGATAACTTTTTGTTATCAGTATAGTTTGCTCTTCAAGGCTTCGTGTCGCTTTTCGTATCATCATCATCATTCCCGTTATCATTATCTTCAGGGCGTTATCCTTCGCCTCCAACAAAATCCAAGAGGAATGACAATTTGGTGAGGGGGCAGGGGAGAGCCCTGCCCCGCACGGGTTTCATTAGGAGGGAGATGGAATCCTGGAGGGGGTATGGGCAGATTGTGAGGAATACTCTTTTCTGGGGCTGGGCATCAAATCCCAGCGGGGGCAGATTAGAGTAAAGGGATAAATAGGGTAATGGAGAGAATGGAGGTGTGCTGAAATTCTCGGCTATCATCATCTGCTTATTGTTATATTAATTTTTTTGGTGTTCTGAAATTCTGGCTGCATCTCGTATTCTTCCACATCCGCGATATAGGTCTTCAGAGATGGTTGAACCTGGACTGATATCTTCTGAGTTGCTCTGTTCTGTGCCCTTGGTTTGCCGATGCCAGAACGACGCTGGTCGGAGCTGGGGCGCTGCCCTGTAACCTGTAAATAGCAGGAGTGTGAGGCCTTGTAGAGAGATCTGGGGTTTGCTGAGGGTGGAAGGCATTCCAGTGGTGACCCGGGGGGGGCTGAAAGGAGGCGAGAAGAGATCAGCTATGGTTGATGTTGGTCAAGTTGTTTCTGTCTCTGTAGTATAGTGTCCTGGTACAGGGAGGGCTAGGAGTTGTACTGGGATTTGGAGCCCAGAATAGCTGATATAGCATCATATAGCATCATCATCATCATCAACATCATCATCATCATCATCATCATCATCATCATACCATTAGTTTCATCATCTGATTATTGTTATATTAAGCCTTTTGGTGTTCTGAAGTTTTGGCAGCATCTAGCATTCTTCCACATTCGAGATATACGACTTCAGAGATGGTTGAACCTAAACTGATTTCAACTGAGTTTCTCTGTTCTGTGCCCTTGGTTTGCCGATGCCAGAACGACGCTGGCCGGAGCGGGGGCGTTGCTCTGTAACCTGTTAATAGCAGGAGCGTGAGGCCTTGAAGAGAGATCTGGGGTTTGTTGAGGGTGGAAGGCAGTCTAGTGGTGAACCGGGGGTGGCTGTAATGAAGCGAGAAGAGATCAGCTATGGTTGACAATTAGTTAGGTGGTTTTGTCTTTGAGGTACAGTGTCCTGGTATAGGGAGGGTTGGGAGTTGTTCTAGGATTAGGAGGGCAGAATAACTGATATAGCATATTTTTCTTTAATTTTTCATATTTTTGAATCATCATTTCTCATTAGCATCATTAATCAATGTCATTAGTATCATCATGGTCATCATTAGCGGTTTCCGTATGTTCATTCCGGGCAGACTGTGAGGACCCCGGCCTCATCTTATTATTGGTAATATCAGCTTCGGGCACTGGGCCCGTTTAAAAAAAAAAAAAAAAAAACAACAACAACAACAACAACAACAACAACGCCCAATCATTATAGCCGTATTTGGGGCAAAGTTAAGTCCAGATGCAGCCATAATGACTGGGCGTTCTATTCGGGTGAAGACAGGAGCGGCTCGATTTGAAAGAGATCTGGGTTGTCGTAGGTTGCGGGTTCAAAACTCAATTGCAGCCTTGCGCATGGACATCGGCAGGGCGTTAGAATGACGCACGGCTGGACACACATTCCCTTGGGCTGACGCACGGTAAGCTTATACAGACACTGCATGCGCACCACCCAAGGGTTGTGGCAGTCCATGGTGTTGTATGTCAGGTCTTGATACTGTGTGCGTTGCTTGTGGTTGTTGCTCGTGGTTGTTTTGTTGATCTCCCCAGTCTGGCATATCACACACAGGGGCCGTTTGCGATTGTTGCTCAAATGGTAGCTGTCTCTTATACACATCTAGATGTGTATAAGAGACAGATGTTGTGTTGTTCGTGGTTGTTCTGTTGATCCGCCCGGTCTGGCATATCACACATAGGTGCAGTTTGCGATTGTTGCTCAAATGGTAGAGTCGTCAAGTCACATGCCATAGATCACGGGTTCGAGTCTGGCTTGGGACTTTGGGGGGGGTTCTTGTCCAGCTTGGCCTGTCATCTCTTCAAACGAACACATAGTTCCCTCTACATATGTCCTGTCTCTTATACACATCTAGATGTGTATAAGAGACAGTCCTCACTCATTTTTTTTTTTTTTTTTTTTTTTTTTTTTTTTTTTTAATGGGAACAGAGCTCCAATCTATTTGTGGGGAGCAGCACATGCTGGGAACTAGGCCCAGCGTCCCATATGAAAATTTACATAGACGTTTGAAAGTTTGAGATACCGGGGCCATTACCCGACTTTGGCTAAGAAAAAATTGAGCTACTTAGAAAATTAGTACAACAAACTTCAGAGATAGGCAACGTTCAGAAACGACCCAGAAACCCCCCATCAATCCTTTGTACCTCACTCCGGCAAGACTTGCTGTAGCAGAGCCACCATCTCCGCTGCTGCTGTACCCTAGTATTTCCATCCTACGAGCTAGTCCCCTCACTAGTAGGACGCTTGATATCCAACCATTTACTTCTCCCAATCACCTCTTTTTGAGAAAAAAATTAAGAAAACCTCCCCCAGCCAGCATTGATTGCCCCGGAAACCAGGGGATTTTATTGAGCAGAGATGCCCTTTTTTTTTGTGTGATGAAAGTTTCATGAAGACTATACTATAGTCAAAAACTCCTACTCCCAAATCCATGCAATCAGTCAGATGGGGAACGAACAACCCTTACCCCCTTTCCTTCTTCTGACGCGACTTATAACAACAACACTCCTTATACTGCTGCTGCACAACCCTAACACCATCCTACTAGCTAGCCCTCCTCACCAGCAGGATGCGTGGACACCATCCGGGTACCCCACCTTCTGACAGTCCATCCATCCTATTCACCCGCAAGAAAACCGAAACCCCTCGTTCAGTCCTCGTACCTAAAAACGACTGATCTCAAACCCCCTTAGCTAGGGTTACAAGGACCCGCTACATCCCCGGTACCGACCAGCCTAATACAGACGGCAAGGAGTGCCTTCCACCCTCGACAACTCCCAAATAGTTGCACGCCCCGTTTGGTGACAGGGCTACAGCCCCAGTGACAGTTGCGTCGAATGAGATAATGCTCATCAACCCAATCTCGCCCTCCTGACTTACTAGTAAGGACACAGCCCTCTCCCGGATGACCCCCACACAACCTCTATTCCTATGGTTGTTTCAAACCCCATCAATTAGAAAAGCCAGATTAGAACTGAACAACACTCAGAAAAGAGAGCAGAAAAGTCCAAACTAACACCACCACCTTGCTACCTTCCCCGCAACTGTTGAAGGAAACCACAAGCCTCGTAATCGGCCTCGATTCTACGCACAACTAGTCTTATACCCTCCAATGCTAGGGTTACAGGGCACCACCATACCCCAGTACCGACCAGCTTAGAATAGACGGTACGGAGTACCTTCCTCCCTCGACAACTCCCATTAGCCGCCCGCCCCTAAAAAGGTGACGGGGATTAAACCCCGGCAACGGCAACGTCGAAAGTGCTGGTTTTGTCTTCCTCCCTCGACAGAACTCCCCAAGCCTCGCGCTCCCCAGGTTACAGAGCAACGCTCCAGCACCGGCCTGCGTCGTCCCAGCCACATCCTTATGACCTACTAACAAAAACTCAAGCTCCCCCCCTGTTACAACCCCCATTCAAGCTTCTCACCCATCAACTTCAACCCATCTGCTCCCCGTTAATCGTGTGTGATCATATGCCATCCTATTAGCCCCCCAAATCGTCAAAGATTAAGATAAAAAATTATCCGACAGGCTTCAAGAAACTGTGTATAAGAACTCGGAAAAGTTTTTAGGCTTTAACCAGTCAGGACTTTTAAAGATAGAGAAAAAAAATTGAATATACTTCTGATAGAATCAACTAAGAATCTCAATGTCAAGAAATTCGAAATCGGAATGTAAAGTTTAGGAATTAAGCACCGGATTGTAGTGTTGGTAAATCCCTAGTCAAGCTATCGAAAGTAGAATTAAGCTGTCCGAACGGACTTTCGACCCTCTAAATTGGATTTATCATTCAGAAAATCACCCAAGTAATTGCAATTGAGGTAAGCCTAATGACTAGTACTGTAGATCGTATTTAAGAATCATACTATAAGAAGGAGCTTTAAAAAACTCACAATTATTACTTCGTCAGATTCAAAGTTGTAAATAACACACAAGCGATTTTAGTGCTCAAGAATAAGAATAGTAAGGGATTTACAAAATTTATGGATAGGTATTCAGCCACCCGGTAGATCACCTTACAACTGACTACAGTACAACCCCGACTCCTTACCCTGCTTACTCTCCGTCCCATCCGCCGCATGCCTGGCCGAATATGCTAACCCAACCTGTCCACCCAGATCACCATATCGTTCATCCCTCCCTGACTCTCCCATATCCACCAAAACTCAGCGATTCTAGCCAAAGCAGCCATATCGGCAGCAAACACGAGCGCCAATATCCATTCAAGTCCCGAAGTCGGGGGGGGAGAGAGCTTCATTCACCATCATCCATCATACTCACGGGGAGGCTCAACCGATGTTACACCAAATCAATCAAAAGATCGTCGCTGCTTCCCGCATCTCTCCTCCTCGCTTGACTCAAGGTGATCCACCTTATCCCATGTCGAATCAGGACAGCTTGTCCTGTCATCTCTTCAAAAGAACACAGTTCCCACTACATAGTACTGCACATATCTGGCCTTCGGGCACATACATCTCGCCATACAGTTACACAGAGCACACATAGACTGCACATATCTGGCCTTCGGGCACATACATCTCGCTATACAGTTACACAGAGCACACATAGCCTTCGGGCAGATACAAAACACATGGCCGTATGGGCTCATACAAACATAAATAGCCTCTGGCCACACACACATACACACAACTACGATACTGGGCTGGGGGGGGTCTATCAGGTATATGACGGGGTCTACTCACGCATGGCTTAGCTCTAGGGTAGGGGTAGGGATATAAGTCGCTCCGGCTAGGCTGAGTTCCACCTAGCCTTGGGTAAGCTAGGGGAAGGATGGTAGGATGTGTCCGCGGGCGCTGGCCTGCCTTGCTTAGGTAATCCTGCTGGGTAGACTCTCTGAATTGGGCCTGTAGAAGATTGCATGAGCCTGGCGTCTGAAGTTCCCGTACGGCAAGGCTCGTCCTCTTCCGCTTCCATCAGGGCTGGGAGGTTGGCCTAGCCCTGGTGCTTGTCACTGCTGTCTGGTCCAAGTTGCCCTCAATACTGGTAGGGTGATGGTCCTGAGTGCTGGTCACACTGAGGTAGGATAGTAGGGACAGGGGGCGCGCTGGGAGTATTAACGTGGTGATGGGTAGGGTAGGTCGCCTATCCTGGCAGGACAACCATTGGCTGCTGCTACCAGCAATCACCACGGGGCTGGTCCTTGGCCTCTACAACACCCTGGGCTTTTAAGAAGAAAAAAAAAAAAAAAAGACGGGAGGGGCTCTATTTGATAGAAACCTGGGCTGTCTTTCCCCTACGGAGTTTTCAGTGAAGATAAATAAGCGCATGCCACCGTGTTTATGATTCATTAAACAAAGAAAAAGGGAACATTGATAACTGCCAGGGAATGATTTCCGCAAGTCCCTTCCGAATTTCATGGGGACTACTCTAGCATGATTTCCGTAAGTCCTTTTGAATTTCAAGAGGACTCTAGCCTGCAGCAGTACCCGTTTCAAGAGCCCTCCACTTCCCTCTCCCTGGCACCTTCAAATTTTAGACCACGAGCACATGGGCAGCTTGGCCGCGGCCCGCGGGTCTGACACCTCAAATTCTGGAGGCATGAAACGAAACCGTGACCGCCGATCTAATTTATCAACGGTGGGCCCAGCGTTTGATGTTTCGGCCTTCCTCGTTTTCTTGTGGCGACAAGTTTCGGACTGCAAGGCTGGGGCCGTGTACTTGTGGTTAAGACTACCGTAGTCCTGATGTTGGGACGGACCATGGCAACCGGCTGGACGTGTGGACCGGAATCCAGACGGTCCGGTTGTCTGGGTATGGGTCCGGTGTCTGGTCTGGTAGGTCTGGATTGGGCCCAATTTTGAAAAATTCGAAAATTTTTTTGGGGGGTCCTAGGACGTTTTTCAGGTCCTAGGCCGCCCCCAAAAAATGCCCCTGATACGGCCATTTCAGGGCCTACCGGACGCCACCAGACGCCTCCAACGGCTCCCTCTGCTGAGTCCGATTCCGAAAATGAAGCTCTGGCTGCAAAGCACCACAGAACATCAAGCTAGAGAGAGAGAGAGAGAGAGAGAGAGAGAGAGAGAGAGAGAGAGAGAGAGAGAGATGATATTGGTCATCCCGTCTTAGATCTGGTCCTGACCAGATCTCAGATCTGTTCTTGCACAGATCTGAATAACTTAACGGTTTGAATTTTCAATTTTCATATGAATATGAATATGAATTAGTAAGTCTAACTTCAAAGTTCAAAGTTCTGTTTCTCTCTGATTTTCGTACTCTTTTCTGAAGTGACTTGGGATTGGTCTGTTGAGAACTGGTTTCTACTTTCTAGTGTTGTGTGAGCCTTTGTGAATGTCTGTGACAGTATTGACTCTATTGAGCTGTCAAGTTGTGAATAGTGAAAGACAGTAAGCTGTGGTTAGTACTGCTTAATAGTGCTCATTAGTAGTTATTACTATTTTTTTATTTATTTATTTTTATTCCCTTTGGTCCGGACATTTTTGTGTCTGGTGTACAGGTCCGGACGGTCCGGGTCCGGTCCTGTCCGGTTGTCCGGTGCCTGTCCGGATTACCGAACGTCTGGACCAGTCCAGACAAATGCCTGGGCCTCGGTCCAGACATGTCCAGGTCCGGGTCCGCGGTTGCCATGGGACGGACACACATGCCCTCTCCTCTGTGCCATTTCCATTTGTCTTCGTTTTTTTTTTTTTTTTTGCTTTCACGAAAAGCCCTTCTGCAAGGCCTCTATCCTGGTGGTCGTAAGAGACCAAGCGGGACTGAGGATTTGCCTGTCGGGCTGCTTCACCTATCGGTGGGGAGCAACACCTTCTGGAAAACCGGGTCCAGCGTCTTTTTCCAACCAGCTTTCATGAGTTGGCCCGCTCAAGAGTGCCATGCGGTGCGGCCTAAACTCACGGAGTCCAGACTCCTGCGAAATTGTGACCTTTCTCGAAAGTTTTTGTGTTTCCACTCATAGTGAGAAAAGCCCCATTGGCATTATCTCTAAGCAATGTGCAATTGCGCCTCTTGCAGCTACTCGCCAAATGTAAGAAGTAACTGACATTTCATGAAAACTGACATTTTTTTTTGTAAATTCACTTAGTGACAGCAGGATGCTTCCAATAGAACTCTAAAAATAAATCCGAAGACAGTGAAAAGTAGTTTATAGTACACTACTCCAATTTTTACCCCATTAGGCAAGTAATGGAGTGAGACCCAACAACGCATTTAATCTACTTTGTCTTGTTTTGTTCATTGATAGGCTATGCCACCACACCACTCTCGAAATGTGGAAAAGACAAAAATGTGGCAGGTGCATCTGGCCATGTTCTAGCAGGAAGTTCATTCTCATTATGCACATTTGGAGAGTTGTGTGGTGATGCCCATAGAGTTACTTCTCAACCAATCTGTCTTGGTTAATCATGTTTTGTGTGAGCTGTCCGTTGCAGTTGTGTATGTTAAGTGAGCTGTCTGGTGATGTCATCTCCTGCGGTACCCTCTCTTCGATTGCCGTCTTTTTTTTTTTTTAGATTGCCGTCTTGTCATTTCCCATCAGCAGGTCCATAAATCCCAAGCAGCACTATAATTCCCCATGGCCTCGTCATGATGAGTTCATCCAGACCTTTCTTTATTCCCCTTCCCCCC